AATTCTTTAAAAAATATTTTTGAGTAATGGGAGTACTTTAGGACAGATCAGTCCCACTTAACAGACAATGTGTCAGTTTTGGGGTAACTATTTTTATGAGGAAAAAATGCATGAACAATAAAATGCCAATTCCTACTGATAACAGACTTTTGTTTGTTTAGCTATGTTTCAAACTTCCCCAAGAAAACAATGAGGCATATTAATATAACACAATTATTTAAAAGGTAACATTCAAACATTTTACTGTTGCCAATTCAACATACAGTCTTAAGAACGACAATTCTCAACCTCTGTCATGTACCATGGCAGGTGGCATGAGACTACCACAGAGCATTTTTGAAAAATATCCATAGTTTATAAATGACAAGCAAAGAAACATCTTTCTGCACTAAGCTAAATGACTAGCAAAGTGAACGCTTTTAAAAATACGCCTTTTTAACAGAAGTTGTATTTATTTCACCTGATCACAGGAATTTGAAATTCTATTTCTCAAATAAAAGAAGAACTTGGAAAAATAACAAAATACTTCTTAAATATTTGAGACTGGATGTAAACACAGATGTTAAAATGAGGCGTAGGATAAAAAAAAAAAGACATGAATGTTCTCTTCTGGACCATGATTTCTAAAATTTAGTAATTCCAGATAAAGACTCTAATTTATCCTCGTGTCTGGACTGACCTCCTTTAGGTAAACACTTTTAGTCTAAGTGTGCTCAACTTGTCTAATGCCACTGTCAGGAAGAATGTATTTTTTAAAAGACATAATACAGAGCAAGAAAATACTACCTACTAAAGAATAAGAAACTTAGATTTCACTGCCAGTTAAGTTGTATTTGATGTTAGAGACCCATGTTCCTATTTCCACAGCAGTCACTTATTAACACCAAACAGTACACTTTAATTTTTCCTAATTCCACAGTACAATAAGCCTGTCAAGATTTCCAGGAAATAACCATCAGTACCTACTGTGCTTCCGCAGCTATAGCTAAGCCAGCGGGTACCAGAAATGGACCCTCTTAGAGGAAGGGCATCGCTAGATTACACGGACTCAAGTACTAACTACTGCAAGGAGCACTGATGAAACCTGTCCTTCATTTGCAAAGTCCTCACTTGGTCTTCAATTCTGTAATTACAGCCATGCCATCATCTCCGAACAATATTTTTCTCATCCTTTTACATCACTGCCTGTTGCTGCTTCACACAACTTACAAATCTGTGGTTTTTAAAGGGAATGAAACAGGATGGCCCTATGTGGTAACTAGCTTCTGCAGCTGCCACCTGGTGGGTCACCTTGACCTTGCCTTGGCTCTACTCTGGCTCACAGAAGTTATTATCTTGTTCCCTTAGTCAAATCACTTCTCACACACTTCCCTGACAAGGACACCTTTTTATATTTCCTCCTCTCAGGTTGGGAGTAGGGAGTTACGTGTATAACAAAACTGTCCAAAATTACCACTGTTTTTCAGTCAAGAGAATTATGGACACAATTGAAAAGGTGAATGAATTAATTAAAAAAATTAACGAGGGCAACTTAAGAAGGCTTTCTTATATTGGAGAACTATTGGAGAAGTCTATCTTATTCTGTTTTTCTGACAAAAGCTCATCACACGAGTAGGGTAAACATTCAAAACACGTAAAAGAACATAGTCAACTAAGCACCAGAGTTGTGACACAGTCAACAATACACATATACACACATATACATGTATATATGTATATGTATATATGCATATACATATATGCATATATATATAGTTTATGATAGGTTAAAGTAAGTAAATGCTCTAATTGGCAAAATAAAAATCAAGAGAAATAGTTATAGTGAAATTCTGTGGTTAAATTTGATTTCTTTGTGTTAACTACTTATTGTTAATTTAGCATACAATTAGAATTACCTCTGGGATTGGAAGGGCAGATAAATCAGTAATTAGCCTTTTCCCCACAAACAATAGTGATAGCTTCAAAAGCTTTAACAGACCTAATGGCGTAATTTAATTTAGCACAGGACAGAAAGAAAAATGTAAGTAGCCAATATATTTGCAAAAATTATTTTCTTCTAGAATTCAAGATCTCAAATATTTCACACAATCTATTTATACTTTCCTGCAAACTATATTTTTGAAGTATTAAAGGTGGCATAAAAATACTTCTAAGCTTACACAAGATCTGAATAAAAACAAAGATCCCAGTTTCAACAAGAAAATTTTCCTAAAATTTATCTTTTTATATAAGCTTCTAAGCTTACACAAGATCTGAATAAAAACAAAGATCCCAGTTTCAACAAAAAAATTTTCCTAAAATTTATCTTTTTATATAATTTCATATAACCTAGGTTACTGTAATTGGATGTGTAATATGGATGTCAAAGGTCAAGTTTAAATATATAGTAAATTCTTTTTTTAATAATTACTTTTTAATACATTTAAACTGTGTAGCATTTAGCTCAAGGTAAAACTTTTTCAAAGTCATGGGCTGTTGTTCAACTCAAAAGATTCAAGCATAAACTTTGAATGAACAAATGTGATAAAATTTATTAAAAACTGCAGCACAAGGTCAAACGGTAATGATGCATCAATACATATACTCCAGGAAAGTATCCAAGCTCCAAAGAGCAGAATCTTCTTCCTGAAGTTCACCCCACTCCCCCTACCCTCATGGACTGTGCTATCATGTGTTTTTATTTAGGGTTTTTGCAGGAGGGCCTTATAATCCCTTTGAAAGAATACTTAAAATATTTCATATGACAACTTATTCTTACCAACTGATTCCCAAATTAAAAGAGACATTCAGTGACTACTTTCTGACTATATCACATGGCCTATGTTTGAAAACCTGTAGGGAAAATTCTGATACTGAAATTTCAAGATGACGTGATTATTTATAACGAGCTTTTCTCAGCAGAAAAGGTTTTATACTTTGGATATCATACCTACTTCCCTGGTGATAAATAAGACATGAAATGCAATACAATTTTTGAGCTGTAAGGTGCCTATAGAGGATGTTATTGGAGCATGTACAATGCTCGGTGTGCAACATGACACGGCTATTACCAGGCACCCAACTGAGTAGAGGAACTCTGCGATGGCATCTGTTGCTGGGTGAAAGTTATTAATACAAAGTGGTGGAAACCACCAGGCAAAGCAGTGCTCCTGAAAGACAGAAATTCAGAGAAGTACCTTGCACTTTCCTGACAAACTTCTCTGTTATCTAAGAGAATTCTGCCATTATCTTCTGATCGACCATGACTGTGCTTAGGCACGTGGTGTCTTCATGGGCGAGACCAGATCAAAAAACAATGACCACCAACCAGTTCGCCCCAACATCGCTCACTTTACAAAATTACAGACATGCAATACAGAGCAGTCACAAAATCAAGCCATGAACACGGGCGTGAAAAAGCATGCCCTTGAGCTGGGCTCTACCATTTTCAAGATGCTTAATCTTCCCAACTGCGTCCTTTGTCATAAAGAGGGAAAACAGCATGCTTATTAAATCTGAAAAGTCACTGATGTCACAGTGGGATGGAATAATTGCCTCATTTTTTCTTTATCAGCGTAGGCAAAGCTGCACTTCCATAGCCCACACTTCATAATGGCACTTCAACCGGGTGCCTTTTAAAATGAAAAGTGAACAAGTTTTCCGAGGTTGGCTTTATAAGATCTAAAGAGATGATTAAATTCAAAGCAGGCTGAGCTCTTAATCTTAAAATTGGTTATCTCAGCCACCAATTTTTGTAAAATGATGGGAAAAAATTCCAATAGGCAATTTGCATTTGGCAGGCAAGCAAGCACCGGACTGCAGAACTCATCACTGTTTTCTTAAAAAATGTAATTAAACCTTAATGGAGTCATGGTACTTTAATGAGGTTCATACTTCACAGTCACTTCTCATCATATTTTGTTCTTTGTTCATTTTTACTATTTCATATATTTCAATATCGCTCACCACAAATCACTGAAAATGATGATTTATGTCTACTCCCTTTATTTCTCCAGCAGTCTAAGGGATTTGGACCAGGAGCTCCAAGTACCATTTGAAAAGGTGAGTCTTTAAAAATCTTCTACTTGGTTAGAAAAAAGATAACAACGACTTGTACTTATCTAGCTAGATGTGCTTTATGATGTCTTTTCAAAATGAGAGTATAAATCATTGTACATAAAAATCAAAATAGTTAATACACATTGTTTTCTGGCATTTTTAAGAAATTAGGCAATAAACAGAAACCCTCTTATAAATTTAATATAACAAAAATAAATGTTTACATTTTAATCTTAGATAGATTACCTTGGGGTAGCAGTTAACTTATAAGACTGTTGGTGTGGGGAGCAGAGATCACCAGAAACACACATTCATGCCCACAGCCCTTCAGAGATGGAAGCATGGCTGCCGTCCAAGTATGTGGTCTGTGTCCCAACATAAAGATTAAGGCTCGTGTTTTGGAGGAATGAGCTCTGGGCTTAAACAAGTATAGAAGTACCACAATATTCATTGAAAATACTGAAAAGGCTCTGACGAGTTTCCAAACACTGGGGTAACAATGTTTTGACTAGAAAAATAAAATAAAGCATCTAAAACTGACTTCAAGTACTTTGGGGAGAGGCTGCTGATGCAGACTGCCAAAAAAGAAGAAGGACCAAAGCCGAGGAGACTCAAGGAGGTCCCTCGTTAATCCCGTTCACCTGGGGGTCACACTCCCAGGTGCTGACAAGTGGCTCCGTGAGGACCGGCGTGCGCACAGTAACCAGCAAGGCCACTCACCATCCTGAAACTCCTGGGTGGGACCCAAAGGCCAAACTTCCTGGGAGGATTTCCTTGGAATGAACCACAGAAATAAAAAAAATTCCAGAGGAAAAAGCCGTACATTTTAAAGTCAGTAGCAGACAGAGCAAAGGGAAGAGAGGAAGAGAAACCTGGCTCTTCCCTACGGCAGTATTTCAGGCCAGGGGAGGTGCGGGGCTTGGAGAGTGCAGTCTTTACGGCTGGGCTTTACTCCGTGATGGGCTGGGACCACGGACTGCGAGGTCTTCTGAGGAGGGTGAAGGTGCAGACGGGAGATGTGCTTGGGTGTGCCTGTCCCCCTCAGCGGCCTCCACCTGGTGGGCAGGTGGGCACTCAGGTGCAGCCAGGTCCCTGCCTCAGTCTCAGAAATTAAAATCCTGGGGAAAGGGCCACAGCATCTCCAACCGTCTTCAGGTGACTAAAGCAGCATGTGAAGAACAGGTTTGTGTCCCGTCTCTTCCACAGAAGACATGTCCCCAGATGCTGGTCGCAGGCCCTCGGGGCTGCTAGAGCCTGGTGACATCTCTACTCTGCTGCAAGTCACTGATGCTCTCGTAGTCGTTCTCCTTTGGGCCGAGGCCATGGTGGCCGCTGGTCCCCAGGGGGGCCTTTTCTTCCTCTCGGTGTAGAGTGTGGATCGCTTCATAATCAGGCTCGGGCTCCTGGCTGGGTCTGCCTGCTGGTGGAAGGGCGCTGCTGGGAGGGTTTTCAAAGTCTTTAACGGTAGCATAGAGATCATTACAGGAGGAGGGTGACCTCTGAGGGGCCCCCTGGATGGAGGTGTAGGTGGACTCCGGTGCTTTAAGCAACTGTCCGGGTTTATTCACGGATGAGTACATGGCTGAGATCTAGGAAGCAAAGGGACAATGAATAAGCAAGCTCCCAGCTGAGCCTGTCCCCCAGCACCATTTTTTGACAAGCGACATACTTAGCCCTGGTGGGCATGTGTGTGTACGTGCCCCTTTCAGATCTGTCCTTCACGAGCTGCACTAATTCTGGAGGACCTCACTAGAGAATAATTATGTACATTATGTTCAGCTGAGTAAGCACATCAGTCACAAGCCCCTTCATTCCGTGGAAACCAAGCTCTCCCAGGTCTGCTGCCGAATCTGAGGAGCAGGTCCTGACGCCCTGGGCCTCCCGCCACATCATGTTTTATTTCCTTTCTACATCACGGATGGTATTTCACCTGAAAAAGGCTCTAGCGCTTTACAATAAAGGGCAGAAAACATGTGTTTTACCAGTGATTCTCAAACTGAGGGCTTTGAACCAGCAGCAGTGGGATCTGGGAATCTACTGGAAGGGCAGATTCGTAGGCTCTGTCACAGCACCACTGAGTGAGAACCTCTGGGACAGGCCTGGCTCCAGGGGCTGACTCTGATGTCTGCCGCAGGGCGTGGCCCACGGGCGTGGACTCTTCACGCTGTCTGCACCAAGCTGGTCTGAGGGGCAGCGGCTGCACTCTGGCTGGCAGTATGCACGCATCTGCAATGGCGCTGTTTCCCATCATTTTTTTGACTTAGTTGCGTGTTATTGATTAAAGAGACATTGATAGTCTGGCCTTAGTTCTCTTCAGCAGGAAAATTCATTTCTTACCTGCAGCCAGCTAACTCAGAAATGAAATTTGGAGATAACTTATGGGATGGTCTCTTCCTATAGTAAGTGCAGGTAGTTTTCCAAGTACACCTTCCCAGTCTCACTAATAAATTTCTATAATTCTAATATGAAGAGGGACTGAATTCTTTAGCAATGACAGATTAAATGTGCTGATTAAGAAAATTTGGGGGGAACACTATTTTATGGTGATAAATCATGGGCTGGAAATAGGTAAAAATATCCTTCATTACAAGTATTTATTTTTTTAACATATGTGATTGATTCATTCAAACACCAGAGAAATAAGTCACTGTGCTCCCTGACAGATGCTCAGCTTCCAATGCTGGGGGACATTTTTCATGTGTTTCCTTTTCTCACGAAGTGCGGGTAAGGTTTCCAGCTGGCCTCAGGAGCTTCCTGGGACAGGCCTGCTGCATGCTAACTGGTCATCTCCATGGGGGCTCTTCACTGCTGCTGGGGTCTCAGATTTGCTCGGCCTTGACAATCCTAGGGTTTACAGTCAGTGAAATGGTTTTTGGGAAACTCTTCCATGTTGATCTGAACATTTTAATGAATATTAAATTAACATTCTCACCTTAGAACTTTTAATGAAAAAATTGCTTTAAAATAGAAGGATTATTGTTTCTTTGAACTTAGGAAGAATAAAAAAAAATCCACCTTACCATAAGGTGTAAACATATGGGATTTATTCTCTAACTCAGAGGTCCTCAAACTTTTTAAACAGGGGCCCAGTTCACTGTCCCTCAGACCATTGGAGGGCTGGACTGTGGGCCCTGGGATGAGTCAGCTGCTAAGCAGGACAGGCAGCGGTGCCAAAAACACCCAGGGGGCCGAATAAATGTCCTAGGCGGGCAGCACGTGGCCCGCAGGCTATAGTTTGAGGACATCTGCCTAGTAATCTAAGCCCAAAGTATAGACTGATTATAAAGCAGTAAACCGTGGGTGACAGGGTAACATGAAGGACAAGGGTTCTGTGACCCAGACTGTAATGAAGGCAGTCATCCCCTCACGGTGAGTCCCTCTCCTCAGCTTCCTTCCCCATGCTTCCTGCATTAATGTCCCTTGCTCTCTGTAAGAGTTCTTGGGTCCTTTTAGACTCTTTACTGTATATATTTTTTAATTACAGGTTCTTTCATTAACTTGCAGTTTAATATTGGCTCTGGGAATGAACCCAATGTGCAAAGAGTATCACAGAGTATTTCAATTTTTATAAGAGCTTCTGGAGTTTTCTCTGACTATTATTTTACAGGTTACTCTTCAAACCTTCTTGCTACCTTGCTATTTATCTTTTCAGTTTTTTTCCTTATACTTTTAATTTCGTTACTCACTCTGTAAATTGTTCTTATGTTCTTATAAGTTACTCTCTTCATTTTTTTCCTTTTCTCTTCTTTTAACAATCAACCCTTTCCCCATCATTCTGTTAAATTGGGATAACAGTACTTAAAAGCTCAAACCTCAGTTTCTGTCTGGACCAGGGGTCCTCAAACTTTTTAAACAGGGGGCCGGTTCACTGTCCCTCAAACCATTGGAGGGCCGGACTGTGGGCCCCAGCATGAGTCAGCTGCTAAGCAGGATAGGCAGTGGCGGCAAAAACACCTGGCGGGCCAGATAAATGTCCTAGGCGGGCTGCATGTGGCCCACGGGCCATAGTTTAAGGACGCCTGGTCTGGACCATCAGCATGATATTACATAAATATAAGAAGAGATGATTTATATATTTATTTTCCCTAAATGTTCTTTCTAAAATGAATGTTGGGGAATCATAGTTCTTTATTTTATGTTAAAATTTCATCAGTATAATTAGGTCCTATTTTCAAAAACCACAAATGAATGTAAGGTAAGAAGCAAAGTAATTAGAAATTTTACATTGTCTTGACTTAGTTTTAAACGATTAGCTTCCAGAACTCATATGTATTGTACTTGCTTGTCCCAAATGAGATCACTCTGGGTATAGTGTAGAAACCAGACTGGAAGGAGGCCCCGGATGCAAGGGCCTAGTGGAGGGCGGTGCAGTGGGATGGAGGGAGGGGGAGTGAAAGGAACAGTGTGGAGGTGCAACTGAGGGGACCCAGCCACTGACTGCGTCTGAGGACAGTGGGGGGAAGGATGTATCAAGATGACCCCAAGGTTTTATTTCTTGCAACCAGACAGATAGATGGCAGGTCCACTCCTAGGAATAGGGAACAAGAGGCGGTGGACATATCACCTACGGAAGGCCCTCTGCTCCCTCAACTTTCAGTGTGTGTGTGGGTCTAGCTTCATATAGTACTCAGAGCCCTGTGTAGGGGCAGATGGACCTGCATACGCACACTGTTCTTGTACATGTATACAACGTACTGTGCCAGGCACGCCAGACGGAAGCTGTGTGTACCTTGATGGTTCAGGGGTTTGGCTTTCTGAGCCTAGTGTGGCAAGACAATATAGCTCTATATATCTGTATCTCTCCATCCATCTACATGCAATAGAACTTATGCAAATTGGCCGCCCAAGGGACTTTCACAAACTAACAACATATATACAGAGGTGGGCAACATAAGGGACTAGGCCTACTGTACTGCCACGTACATGTGGTACAAGTTGGTCTATGAAAATTAGGTCAACTTAAGGAGGTGGTCAATGCAGAAAGGTGGTCAGCTATGGAGGCTCTACTGTATTATGTACTAGCTTTTATGATTTTAACACTTCACCGTAAGTCTAAACAGTGAATTTTTAGCCCCAGTGCTTGGGAATATACAATCAATTTTTGTTGACTGTTGTGTCTGACCCTAGTTCCAGCCTGGAATTGTACTTCCTGAAGTTATCTGTTCTCTGCATCCAAAATTCCTCACTGAGATTTTCCCCCTGTATGTCTCGGGCAGGATCAAATTCCCTGACATCTACTTGTTCCAATTCACTGAATTTTCCAACATACTATTTATTTCCTTTTGATGTGGTTTTCTTGACTGCTGACTAAAGCCCCCTACTGGAATTTCTCTCTCTTTATTCTTATTTTCTCCCTTCCTCCATTCTATTCAGCCTCTTTTCCTAAGCTGACCTGTCCATGCTGTCATCCACCTCACCACCTGTCAGTCTCTCTCTGGGTCCCTACAAATCCAACCTCCTCAACATTGATCCCCCAATGCAGGCCTAAGAAAGTATTTTACCTCCTCAGACAAAAGGTAATGTTACAGTGCATTTATTCAAGGGGAGCAGCTCTTCTACTTTTTTGTTTTTTTGTTGTAAGAGCATTCTGTTATTTTTTATTTTTATTTTTTTTTCAGTTTTGACTGTGGCTGGGTTTGACCCCACCACCCCTGGTATATGGGGCCGGTGCCCTACTCCTTGAGCCACAGGTGCCGCCCACTTTCTGTTATTTAAAAGAAACAAAAACTTACTTCTTCTTCTGTGAGAGTTGGGTCTTCCTCCCGAGACTTGTAGGACAATGAACTAAATCTCTGTCAGAACAAACACAAACCAAAGGAAAGTAGCTTAGAGTCAATGACCCAACCTTTCTTTCGCACGTAATTCCTCATATCTCTCTAAAAATGTTTTTGGATGATTTCTATGGAACCACAAAAAAAAATATGTGAAGGACCATGACATAAACACATCTATCTATTATTTTATGATGTCCTGGGATTCCAAACAGTATTATACTTGGAGAAATTTCCTCTAAATTTATATTTGAATCTGTAGGTGCAAATAGGCCGTAGAATATTGTTTCAAGTCCTAATTGTTGTTAAGGATTGATATCTATAAAGGATTGATAATTAAAAAACACTCAGAGTGTTTCTTTATAAGATGCCTGAATTCTGTACTTTTATAGATTACAGGTGTCTTCAGGGAGATCTTTACGTTATCTGGAAACTTCAAAGCTAAAAGAAGTTAAATCAACTCACTTTTGGTGGCCTGTCTGATTGCCCGGTGCTTTGGCTCTTGGTTCCCCAGTTCTCTTTCTGGCATATCTCCTGTCCTAATTCATGATGACTTCACGCATCCTTCCAAATCCTTCAGTTCCCTGACCTCCCCTGCCGCCCACTGAAGCTGTGCTCCACCCCCTGACCTTACCACTCTCTCTCCCGGATCACCACAGACTCCCTCTCACCCTAACTCTCTGCACCACACCAGCTCCTCCCTGTCCCTTGCAGACCAGCGACCATCATCCAGGCTCACCCCTCCTGTGACCCAGTTCTGATGCTTTTTCAATGCTGCTGGGATCCAACCACCTTTTCCATCTCCCCTTCTCCTGATGTTCTTCCTTCCTGCCTCACCAAGTTTCAACTCCGTAGTTATCCATCACAATCATGCTCCCTGGTCACTGGTGAATTCAACCCTCCCATGAACCCTTGACGTGGCTCCACATCATCTGACTCTTTCCTAGTACACACCCGTCATCTCATCCTCTCTCCCCAAACTTCCAGCACCTCTTCACCCATCCTCACTCTGAGCTGCCACTTGTTACCATCAAAAGTGGAGTTATAGGGTCCTTTCAGCATCAGGTGGGTTGTGCCATTCTGATGCTCAGGACTCTCTCTCAGGACCTTATTCTTTAGACCGTCACCAAGGCCATCCAGGATTGAGCCCTGGTTACTTTCTGGCCACTACTATCCTTGCTCATCCCTGTCCAGCCATACCAGTTCCCACCTCTCCCTTAGAAGCCAGGGAAGCTCTAGCCTCAAGGCATCAGGCTGGCCCTGTGCTTTACTTACTCTTGCCCAGAAAGCCTGTAACTCACTCTTGCCCCTCCTTGAAATCTGCTCAAGTGTGACCTTCAGAGTTAGACACACCCTGCCTGCTCTACCCCAAACTACTCCCAATCTCCCTTTTCCCAATCGTCCATATTCTATTTTTTTCTTATAAACTTTGTCTGTTTCTTCACTAAAATGCAAGCTCACAGGGACAGGAATTTAATTCATTTATATGTGTTGTTCCCTGCAATTCTTAGCACCTAGAAGATGGTGTGGCACACAGTACATGCTCATTGAAATCTTTTTGTTGCATGAATATCAAATTCTCCACACATTTAAAATTTAAATTATTTATATGACAATGATAGATTACTCAAACTCATTACGCTGTGGAAAGACAATTTGGTTCCCAGATGAGCATTTCCAGTTTTTTTTTTTTTTTTTTTTTTTTAGAAAGAGTCTCACTTTGTCACCCCCTGGTAGAGTGCTGGGACATTACAGCTCATAGCAACCTCAGACTCTGTGGGCCGAAGTGATTCTCTTGCCTCCAGCTCTGGAGTAGCTGGGATTACAGGAGGCTGCCACAACGCTTGGCTATTTTTAGAGATGGGGGTCTCACTCTAGCTCAGGTTAGTCTCAAACCTGTAAACTCAGGCAATCTGCTCACATTGGCCTCCCAGAGCGCTGGGATTACTAATTAATTTAACTTTAATTAGCCACACAGGGCTAGCAGCTAAGGTACGGGACAGCACAGCTCCAGAAGCTGGCAGCCTCATGAAAATGAGAGCAGGGCTCTCCCTGGCCTCTGCCTCTGGCCTCTAATTCACCCTGAAACTTCTTAACCATTGCTCTCATAACAGACGCAGGACAATCATGCCAATATAATGCAGCAAGTTCTACAGAAGAAGAATATATTTTTCCAGCTTCTCATTTCGAACTCTCATTTCCAGCCTTTCATTTTGAACTCATGTTTAAAAAGACGCAGAGAGCCTGAGTTATACCAAGGTCTTGCTCCTTTTTTTCCTTTGATGCCTGAGCTTAGAGTTCTAAAACAATATATATTTTCCAGCCTCAGAAATTTCAATAATGTGACATCATCTGCAGAGTCCAAACTCTTTGTGCTAAATTTCTATGGTAGCTACAATTAGCCATGATGTCACCAACCTGATTTTCATTCATCTGACATTCTCTGACTTCAAGAGACTTAAGACAACGGTTAGAAAAAGTATAAGAACCATTTGTGTATTAACTCTTACCCTAGTTCTCCCATCGTCTGTGCCACACATTCTCTGCTCTGTCCCGGGCTACGCAACTGTTCTTCTGAACCCTTCTACTTTGGTAATCCGTTCACGGCCTCCTCCCTCCCCCAGGCCTCCCCACATCGTGACTGTCTTCAGTGTTCCTGTCTTCTCCTGGAAGTTTTTCCCCCTCCCTTGCCATAGCAGCAGGTCACAGTTCCTCCCTTTCAATTATCTTCTAGCATCTTCTCTCACTTCCATGGTGAAGAAACTGAGGCTTAGAGATTAAATCATTTGTTCAATAAATATAGCAGGAATTCAACCAAATGAGGATGGAAAATGCACTATTTGAGGGAGGTAGAACTTTTTGAATCTAAGGGTTCTGCGGAGCTAACTTTGGGACTTGTGCATCCACAGATTTTGGTATCCTCAGCAGGGAGGGGGACCTCAGAACCAGTACTCATAAATACCAAGTGATGAGTGTACTTAGAACGTGGTAGGGGGCTTGGCACCTGTGGCTCAAGTGGCTAAGACGCCAACCACATACACCTTAGGTGGTGGGTTCAAATCCAGCCCGGGCCCGCCAAACAACAATGACGGCTGCAACCAAAAAATAGCCGGGCATTGTG